GCGGATTTCTGCTACATCGTGCTGTATGGCATCACTGTGAGACATCTGGAGCCATTTGTTCAACAATTACCATCAAACAGGTATCAGGAGACGCTGATGTTTTAATCATAAAAACAGCTTATATGATACTAAATATTTCGCCGGATTTCACTTTTGGGAACCTTTAAGAAGTACGAAGCACGTATTGTTCTCTTGTCTGTATTTCGCCATCTTATTTGCATGTCGCGTCACCAATACTCTCTCGGAACAAAACTTCGCTGTCCGGCCGGTAATACAAGTAAAACATAAAGTTGAACATAAAAATCCGACATAGCTATCTCACTAGCGTCTGATTATCACGATAAATCAGTTATCGTAGTCGAAGAAGACATCGATCTGATAGTCCTATTGACAGCGCTCGTACCTTTGAACAACGCTATTTATTTCTTGAAACCAGGAAGGGGAAAGATCGAAAGGAAAATTTACTATTTGGCAAGTTTTGTGGACCAAGAGGAGTGTAAAAGCAATCTCTTATTTTTACACGCATTTAGCGGTTGTGATTCGACATCCTCATTTTTCAACAAAGGCAAAACGATATGCTACAAACTACTGCAGAAAAGAAAAGATTTGAGAAATGTCGTGAAAATTTATAATGATCCGAACGCCTCACACGATGCTGTCACCGAAGCCGGGGAACGCTTTGTTCTTGCTCTGTACGGTGCGCCGAAAATAGAAAACTCCATTAAGACGATGCTAAAGTGCCCAATAGTGACATTTTCTATTCATTTCTTACAACTTTTTATATATCATTCTGTCTTACTCAAACGCATACATATGTCCTTATCTAACATACCATGGTACAGCATCATCTATCGTAAGCCGCGCAACTACTGGTACACGGAATTTCGGCTCTCATTCTTCGCAAAGCATCCGTATACACATATTTTCCATTCGGTGAAAATACTTTTCTTCTAGATTTTCAATCCTAGTTCTACAAACTCAGTATCGTTCGTTCCAGTAATGTGACCTCAGCTGCACGCTTATTTTTAAGGTATGGACTCTAAAACTCTTATATCAAGCAAATATATATCTGAGATGACAGTTGTAAGAGCCAAAAATAAGTGAATTTTTTAACTTTTTTTCGATTTTCTCATGAAATCCAATACAGCTGAGGTTCTGTTTGTGCGTACTTTAATTTATGTAATAATACTTTTGCAATCCGTAAATCCAATTCGAAGATTTTTCACCGAATGGAAATGTGGGTAAAACAGGAGGTTTTAGCATCGTCTTAATCATCATCGGTATCTTTGCTACAAGAAATCATTGCGCAAACAACAAACTTCTAATCTAGCTTTATTGCCACCAACCGCAGCAGCAGTTCGAGAGCATTCTTTTCGAGCGTACTACCAAGTTCAAGAATGGCACGGCAACAAACTTCCTGCTGAAAATTCGGAGTGGCAATTGAACAATGGCAAGCTCGAACCGATCACAACATCACTGTCTCCTGCCTCCGATTCTCTGTTAAAATTAATCTCCTGCAATTGCACAAAGAGGTGTGAGCCGGCGTGCGGTTGCAGGAAAAGTGCACAACGATCTGTGGTAATTGCCACGGCCATTTGTGCTTTAATTCAAACCCCATCGATGACGAGAACACAAACAGCAGAGACACAGACGTTACGTTAATGGACTACCTCACTAATGATGAAGAAGACTTTAATAACTCGCGGGTTAGCACGGAAGATGCAGAAAATGAAGCCTTTCATAATGATGAATCCGAAATATCTATGTCACATTTTGATAATGACAAAGATATTTCACATTATAGTTTGAGCCCTCCTGCCAAAAAACATATTTTTGAAAAAGAAACCTTGTATTGTACCTCTCAGTGGTGTGGAAAACAGTACATATTATTATTCAAAGACCTTACTTTCCAGCACTTTTTTTCGAAAACGGTTGGATTTATGAAAAAATTTAGTATTACCTTTTTTATAGAGAATTTAATGCTCTTCAACTTTTATGTAAGACATTTTTTCGTATATACAACCGTTCGTGAGTTATGTTCGAAAATCGATTTTTTAGTACCTTTGAATCAATATGGCGGCTTTTCCGTACAACATATCGATGGGGACTTTTGTATTGTTATTTGTTATGCCAAAATAAAGCTTTCTTCAAAAATTCAGCTCCTCCGGAGTTTTTTCTTAAAAAAATCCTATTTTGACTGTACTAAGATGACCAAAATCTATGGCTAAAATATTTCTTGCGAATTTAGAGAAGAAGATGTATAACATAGAGTAAGTATAAATGAGAAAATCATTCAAGACCAACACACACACATAGGAATCAAACGCAAGTTGTTTTTGATGCGAAAATACATTTAATTATAATAAATTCAAAGAACGTTTCGACTCTAAATTTAAGTCATCCTGAAGATAAAGATAATTAAATAATACCGTATATTACAAAAGCACAAACATGTTACAATTTTTTGATGGTATGTCGAATGTGATCCTTCTAGTAAGAATATGAGAATACGAGCAGTTGTCCAATGCAGTTGCATAGCTGAGTTGAGATAAACCTCTAGCTACAAATTGTTATAGAAGATAAACAATAAATCAATTAATTGGGCTCTTGAAATAATTAATTAAAATACACAAGAATAAATAACGGGCAATTAAGAGCCTAAAAAAACGCAGTAATTCGTGCGATACTTATATAATTCAAAAATGTCTATTACATGAACGTTTCGGCTATGTTCAAGCCATCCTCAGCATTTTGCAGTTTATAATCCTAACAAGAAGACGATCCAAAGTTCAAACCATGGAGTGCAGTAAGTAAATCTCACGGATTACCTTATCCGGAGAGTGTGTGTAACCCTCAATTAGTTGATTAACTGAATGACAACTAAATCAAACAAAATATCGTTAGAGACAAATATTAGAAGACCACAAATTATATGGAGATTTACTTACTGTACACCATAACTGCACAAAAATATATATTCCATAAATTCAGTTGACAAGAAAGAAGTATTAAATAAATTACAAGACGACATAACGTTCGCAGTGTCAATCGTAAAGTCAACATAGAAGAAAAATTCTTTTAAATACAATGAACAACGTTGACTAAGAAATTCTCCCCTCACATCTACAAACAACCTTGTAAAGTACTCTTTGAACCAAAATAAAATTCGTCATATATTAAAAATGGAAATTTTTTGAATAAATTAAAATAAAATAAAACGAGCGAACATGTCTTGTTGAATTGACGTTACGACGCGTAATAAACAAAATGTAAGTAAGTTTGTAGAGTAAATATATTATATTTACTCAAATACATTATAAAATGTATACACTAATAATTACTGCAGTATTTGCTCTCAGTAATCCTTTCATATCATCTTACTGTTATTTATTCTAAATATACATATATATATAGGATGTTTGATAATTAATGAAAAATCTTTTGTATAGGGGCAAAATGGACTAAACTGAGAAGAAAAGTCCTCTACAATTTTGCAATTTTTGCAATAGTTAACAAGATATTAATTGCTAAAAATTGCCGAAAATTGATTTTTAATAATTTTTTACTCAAAAACTATCAACTTTACAGAAAAACTGTAAGAGACAAAAATTGTTTATTTTTTTCTCAAAGTTTTGAGAATTTTTTTAGAATTTTTTAATACCGTATTTCTCATGTTGGTAAAAATAAGAAAATGCAATACTAAAAAGTTGATAAAAAATTCTGAAAAAATTCTTAGAACTGTATGAGAATATAATAAACAATTTTTGTCTCTTGCAGGTTTTCTGTAAAGCTGATAGTATTTGAGTAAAAAATTATTGAAGACTAATTTTCGACAATTTTTAGTAATTAATATCTTGTTAACTATTAAGAAAATTGTAAAATGGCAAAGAACTTTTCTTTTCAGTTTAGTCCATTTTGCCCCTATGCAAAAGATTTTTCATTAATTATCATACACCCTGTATATATATATATATATGTGTGTGTATATATATATATATACTGGGTGTCCCCAACATACGGCCCCACTCGTCTTGAGCAGGTAGAGCGGATTAAACTGAGTCGAAAAGTCCTCTACCATTTTTCAATTTTCTCAATAGTTAACAAGATATTAATTACTAAAAATTGCAAAATATTGGTCTTGAATAATTTTTTACTCAAATACTATTAACTTTACAGAAAAACTGCAACAGACAAAAATAATTTATTTTCTTCTCATAAAGTTCTGAGAATTTTTTCAGAACTTTTTCAGAATTTTTTAATACCGTATTTTCTCACGTTGGTAAAAATAAGAAAATGCAGTACTAAAAAGTTAATAATAAATTCTGAACAAATTCTCACAACTTTATGAGAAGAAAATAAATGATTTTTGTCTCTTGCAGTTTTTTTTGTAAAGTTGATAGTATTTGAGTAAAAAATTATTCAAGACCAATATTTTGCAATTTTTAATATTTAATATCTTGTGAACTTTTGCGAAAATTGCAAAATGGTAGAGGATTTTTCGACTCAGTTTAGTCCGCTCTACCTGCTTTTTATAAAATAATAAATATGGAATTTGACATAAATGCAAATACATATGCTATCATTTTGATGAAAATAATTTTGTCTTCGACAAGGTATATTCTTATTCATACAAGATTAGTCAAACATTATCATATAAGAGAATTTTTTTCTAAAATAAATTTTATTTTATTTTTCAATTGATATTCTTTATTTTAATATTAATAATTAAATTTATTGTCTGTGTTTGCAATATCTTACATTAATATTATGAGAAAAACATCGAAAATGTAAAGAAATTTTTTTTCCATTAGTAAATACTTTATCATACAATTTCTTATAGGAAATTTAAATATGTATCAAAGGAACAATAAATTTGAAATAAAATATCAATAGTTATAAAAAATCATTCAATTCAAAATTAAATCAAAAGGTACGATTCTAATCGCAATATTTGTTTCAAATCGTCATCTCATAACAATGCATTGTGTTGTTTGTTTTAGGCGACAAGTGGCATTCACGGCGAAAGATATTAACTCCTCCATTTCATTATAATATATTGCAGCAGTTTACAGAGATTTTGATAGAGCAAAGCAAAAACATGACAAAGTGTTTGAAAAATACAGAAGGCACAGTTGTGAAAGATTTAATATCGTTTGTTAGCGAGTATACGCTAAATATAATATGTGGTATTGTACATATCGTATTCGTAACTATACATATATTAACGAATAATATAAAATGTTATAAAACAAATGTTATTATTTTATTAAAAAATCGGTACAACACTATACTGATTAATAGGGTAAAACGAAGTAATACATCTCGATAAGGAATATGCCCCATTATAAATATAAAAAAAATGGTTCTCTTTCGAATAATTTATCTGTGCCGCCTGCTGCACTATTCTGTAACTCTTAGCGTCGATATTGTTACAGCATTGTTCCAGAGATATTTTACCATAAAAAAGCAAAAACACATAACAATACTGACAATCGCTAAAAGTTATAAAAAAGGCTGCTGATGCCAGTTTGCATTCTACAGGCCCACAGACAAATCGCACGTTACGAAAGTTTTGTATAAAAAAAAAATAATAAAAATAAAAAATAAAAAACTGAAGTTGTTGCGGTAAGTTTCTTTAAGCATACTTAGGTCAAAATATTTCTATAAAAATATTTTTGTGTAAGATTTAGTTGCTTCGTATTAAGTAATACTATGAAATGTAATACTTATAATATGTAATCATTCAATGCTAATAGTTTGTACTGGTTTAGTACCTATCTGCAGTGAGGCATATTTAAGGTGGAATTGGCTAAGTCGTACCGACTCGCTTAAATTGTATCTACATTGTATTTTCTAAACGAAACATTTTTTTTAAAGATAATGACACTGATGTGACGCTACTAATATGGGTTAAGAACTATCATTTTTGTTTTGCCTTCGAGTCATCTGTTTACGAGTGACATTCAAAATTGATTTTGTTCGGTGTCTGATCTAAGTTTTGGTACAATTTACTTAAGATGTTATCAGTACAAGGTGGGTAATTGAATTATAGTGTTCTTCATGGTTATAATTGATATTTCAACTCTTTTCGAGTATAGCATCAAATTAGCAAAATATTTGTAAGTTACGTTGCTATTAGCAAATTTGTAAAAATAGGTACAGGGAGTTGGGTAAATCGTACTTGTCGCTGGTCTTTATATTGTACCGGTACGATTTTCGCAAGTGACGCGAGCAATATGTGGAGGTTACTATTATGATAAAAAAAGTGGTCTGAACCTACACTGGACTGGATTCAGTGTGTCAGGTGCTCTAAGTGGTTGTACGAAACCTGTCGTAACAATCCTGACATTTACCGTCATTTTGACGTTAAAGATGTTATCTTAATGTCAAAATGACAATAAGCAATGTCAGCTTGTTTGCTATTATATATTAGAAGTACGATTTAGGAACCAGGTGGTACAATTTAACGACCCCGTCTCCAAATCATACCGAAAGCTACTTTTTTTAAAATCTAATTTTAACAATAATTTAATGTTTATTTTTGTAAAAGTATCGTTTTGTTTTATTGCCAATGAACCAAAGTTTAATGTAAATACAGAAATATTCTGATCTCTTTAGTTACTTTTGTTATAATTTTGTTTAAACGTTAGGGGGTACGATATAGGTGACTTCCCCCTACTTTAAAAAACGCTCCACTTCTATGAAGTGGATTTTGCCTCAATAATGAATATACTAAATATATAAAATATAAATAAAGAAATATAAATAAATAAATGGTAAATAAGTAAGTAAATAAATAGAAATAATTAAATAACCAAAACATAAATAAATAGAAATAGTATTTAATTAAATAAATGTAATATAATAATATGTAATAAATAAATAAATTTTATTTATTTATGAAAATTCTATTTATTTATGTTTTGGTTATTTAATTATTTCTATTGATTTATTGATTAACCATGTAATTGCGGACTTTAATCCAGGTATTTATTTAATTAATTTTATCAGATACAGACATTTAATTAATTATATTCAGCTTTAAATTTGTAACGATTTTTCTATTAATACTGTAGAAATTACATACTCTCACATTTCACTACAATGGACTTCAAAACAAAAACATAAAAAGAAACTGCGTATAGGAATGCGTAAATGTGAAGAAATATCTAATATTGGAAAAATCGACAAATGCTACACCGCAACGGCAACTGTGGCCATTACTACTAGTATTTATAAGAAATAATTGCGAAAAGCGGACGGAAAAAAATTTTTAACGAATTATTTTATAATTACCTGTCACATTGAGAATGACCCGATAATGGATCGAAACTGTTTGTGTTATTATTATTTAAAGATTAAATTTAATTAATTAGCAACAAACACACACACACACACATCTTAGTTCGTAGTCTTTTATTATTTATCTATTTATTTACTTACTCATTTGTCATTTATTTATTTATATTTATTTATTTATATTTTTATAGCGTCTACATAAAGAGAGTTTCTCGGAGCAGTAGTGCGCTCCTCGCCCTGATGAAGGTTCACGAAACGTTGGCATTAGTAATGGATAAGAACACGGCGATAACCCGCAAACCTGCTGATCTTTAAAGATAATAGCCGTGAAAGCCTAAAAAGCGTTATATTAGGTGTTGAACTTAATTCCTGCCGTTTTTCGTCTCCAAAATTGATTTGTTTTGAAGGGAAGATAAATGAATACCTTAATCAAAATAATTTCCTCCATTTTCTACTTTATTACTAATTAATAATACTTTATTAATAATACTTTGATCAAGGTATTTCCCTTCGAAACAAATCTATTTTGGAGACGAAAAACGGCAGGAATTAAATTCAACACCTAATATTTTATGATATTTATTATATTTGGCTGTATTCCAAAATTCACTGCCAGTGCTGAAAATGTATAATACATGTAACGTAAACTACAAATTTTCAGCGCTGACAGAATTTTGAAACACAGCTTTTATTTATCGAAGTAAAATCCACTTCATAGAAGTAGAGCGTTTTTTTGATAGTTATAACAATTAGTTTTATATGCAATGCACAAATGTTTTATTATAATTTTTAAGCTTCAATTTCGATATAGGCTCCAACGAATAAATTCTAGCAATATGTAATAACAAGGCTACGGAGCCAAGTTGATATTTAGTGTGTATTTACAACATTAACATAGAAATAATAAAGTTAACATTTATTATTAAAAATCATAAGACATATGTTTCGACCTTTTCACATCAAGCCATCTTCAGTGTCACTAAATAAATTAGTATTACATACGCAAACGTTTAACACTGTGTTCCAATGTCCACCCTATCAATAGTAAATCAAATTTCTATAGACGCAACGTATTTGTATAATGATGTTGATGAATCTTCGGTGGTGCGACTCCATGTTCAGTACCATTCATATGTATAAAGAGATTCTGTCAAAAGGTTAAAATTATCGGAATTTTGTCAAATTATTACAATTCTTATCTATAGTTATACTGTAGATTTTTATAAATAGATGTGAACAGACTATAAGAAGTGAAAGAGAGTTCAAATCGATTAAAACATATGTAATTCAATAATGTTACGTCCTGACGACTCCACGATTCTTTTCTTTCGCGGAGAGAACTTATTTCTCAAATTGCAGTATCCCTAAGATATCAGAGAGTCTATTAGAGAGTCAATAGCATGACCGATCGAAGATCGATTCTTAACGAGGGAATAATTAATATCACGAAATAACTGCAAATACTGAATGTGTTAATTATCACACGTGCACGCCTAGTGGCAGTATGACTCATAGAAATATCACTTCTATTTTTGGAAAGGCTTTCCCAATAATTCAAATAAAAAATCATTAGTCACTCTTATATTTCGAAACAATCTCAAAACAGGGTGAATCACCATTGAATAAAAGTCCAAAGTCCGAAAAAACAGCGTACCTTATGTATGGTATATAAGAGCCCTTCGCGAGGACAGTGCAGAGCAGTCGAATATTAACCTAGTCACTTACGGGACGAAGTGCTGCCCGATTCGTTAATATTGGTTCGGAGTTCTCGCGGTCAAGTTCATACAATCACCTTGCAGTCCAATTCCACCAACCCGTCTAAAATAAGCTCTGAGAGAAGCCAACTCCGACCGCTGATCCTGCGAGGACTCCTCCCACAAGGACTCGTTAGTCTCTCTCTCTCTCTCTCTCTCTCAGCCAAAACCGTGAGTAATTAATTCTTCTGTGGGGATCTAAAATTCATTAACACCCCTTTTTGCAATCGCCTAAGACTCATCAACACACCTTTCTGCAACTATTTACAACTCTCTGTCGTGCTCTTCCCCTTTCCTTCTTTCACACCTCTCCCTTTTTCTTCTCTCGCTTTCTCTTTCTATAATTACTCGAAGCGAAATAACGCTCTCGAGTAACTTCCATCTCTCTCTGGTCTTCTTTCTTCCGCGATAACTCGAAGCGAGACACCGTTTTGAGTATCTCCCATCTCTTTCATTCCTGCGAACTCGCGAAACGTCAACCCGCTTTAAATAATTCGTACTTTCTTCCTTCCTGCGATTACTCGAAGCGAGAGTACGCTGCGAGTAAATCACATCTCCCTCTTTCCGTGCGAACTCGCGAAGCGTTGAAATCGCTTCAAATAGTTCGCGGTCCCTTTCTTTCTATAATCACTCGAAGCGACCAAAACACTTCAGTAATTCATCAATCATATGTAAATATTTTTAAAAAATCGAGTGTCACGAGTGCGGTATTGCACAAGTGACAATTGCGCCACGAAACGTACCAAAACGATACTCTAACAATTTACGAAATCATATTATTTAAAATAAAGAAAACAGTATCGATTAATATAAAAGAAGATCACAATTCATATCTTTCTCAACATCACGATAGTCAAATTAAAGATAATTTCACGCGTAGATGGTCAAGCGTAGTCTCCATCGTGCGGGGCTTCGGAAAAGAGCGAGGATCGAGGCGCTTCTCAAAGGAACTCCACCCCCTATTGTTAACCAGAGCACAAAAACTGTAGAGGAGTCCCGTAGCCAACCGCCAGCCTCCTACAAGAAAATAAAAACCGAAATCACCCCCAGCAGTTCAGAAATTCCTCTAAAGCCCATTCTACAATTGCGTAAGTGTAGTTGTAAATAGTTGTAGTTGTAAGAATTGATCAATCACTGTTGAATATGAGAAGAATATTCAACTGTGATTGGTCAATTCTTACAACTACAATCACTTACAACTACGCTTACGTAATTGTAGAATAGGCTTTATAGACCTTACAGAATCTTCTTCCAATACCGCTCCTAGCTTCCCATCACCTTCCTACTTAAATTTCACCCTCATTTCCTATTCTTCCGTCCCCTCAGAAGATGACACCGATTACGATGAAATCATTGGGATATTTCGTTGAAATCAACAGGCGCTCCTCTCCCTCCCCATAATCACACACACACACGCGCGTGCGCACACACACACAACCATATAATAAAACATAGACATATTCACGTAATCTCCGTTGAAACCATCTCGGTCAATTAACTATTCTAACTGCGATTAGATAAAAAGGATAATATTGCAATTTATACAATGCAATTTATAAATTAGGAAATGTATCAAATATTGTAATGTATAAATTGTTAGAGAGAGATTATATTAAATGGTAGTTATAAATCTCTCTCAAATTGAGTCACCCTTCATTCTCTAACCCTTCCGACTCATTCCATCACCTCGAAGATCGTACGGGTCCTATCCCTGGTTATAAGGATTAAGTTCCTTGACCAAAAATAAGGACCAACGGTGGCACTGTCTTGGGCGGCGTAATAGCGCTTCGTATTTGCGTTTACCCGCACCAAAGACTCGCACAAGTGCTTCCGAGTTGTGGCATGCGTCCACGGAGCGATAAGCCACAAAAAGCGGTATAAGTTGCGCCCTTCCTTAGCCCCCTCCTAATTCCTTCTTTCCATTAGGATAAAAATACCTTTGGGGCCTGGACGTAACAATAATATAAAACCATTGTTAATTTTGAAAGAACGGTAAACCAATAAGAATATGTCAATTACAATTATTGTCGAAACGGTGAACTAAGACAGAAATCTGCCGATTATACAACAATTTACAAAAAAAGGCAGTTATAAATTATACCATATACACGAGAATCTCTTTATACATATGAATGGTACTGAACATGGGGTTCGCACCACCGAAGTTTCATCAACATCATTATACGAATACGTCGCGTCTATAGAAATTTGATGTACTATTGATAGGGTGGACATCAGAATACAGTGTTAAACGTTTGCGTATGTAATACTAATTTATTTGGTGACACGAAGATGGTCTGATGTGAAAAGGTCGAAACGTATGTCTTATCATTTTTAATAATAAATGTCAACCTTATTATTTTTATGTTAATGTTGTAAATACACACTAAGAGTATCAATAACCGGCTTGGGTCCGTAGCCCTGTTATTACATAGTGTTAGGTTTTATTATAACTTCTAATCTAGACATGGGATCTATTTCTAAAAAGTATTAAAAAGGGCATTTTCTTCGACAACTCTGTCAAAAATGCCTGAGATGTACTTGTCCATCTAAGGCATTTTTGACAGAACTATCGGAGAAAACGCCCTTTTTAATACTTTTTTGGTTTTAGTGGATTTTGCTTCTAGATTAGAAATTATAATAAAACATTTGTGCATTACATACTAAGCTAATTGTTGTTTTTATTAACAAAGTTGATAAAAAATATTTTGATTATAAATATGCATTTTACTGAAGAAAAATGAAATGTGAGGCGTATTTTCCCGTTTTACCCTATGTAATATTTACAGCCATATATTCTTGGATATATATAATAATATTTTATGTAATAATATTGTAATACTTTTATACATGCATTTGCAGAAACAGCTATGGGCACTTCCCTACAAGATTTAAATGCGTTCCAGCAACAGTATCGAAAAGCGGTTCATCGAATGACCGAACTTATGGTTTATAGGTAATTTATAAATATAAAATGTAACATATTTAGATTCTGACTTAACATGTTACATTGATTAATATTTTATATTATCAAGATAAATAATATATGATCGGTTAAACTGTTTAAAAATAAATATTACTTAAGCTTTTCAAAAATTTTAAATACTAAAATATTAACTAGAAAAATACAAAGCATAATTCAATGTAAAAATACGTTTCTTATCTAAGACTGAATTATAGTTGAAAAAATTTATACTGTAAGTCAAATATACAAATTTCACATATATCTCTCTCTCTTTAGTATACTTACATCATTTCCGTAAATCTATTCTCTTTTTTATGATTATTGAAATATTATTTACTAATTCTAAGAGTTTATACACTGAAAAAAGTATTTAATTTCAATAAATATATTTGTTTGAATATTTCTAAGTAAATATTTATTAAATGTAAATTTATATTTATTTGGTACAAAAACAATTGACTAAACTATTGACAAAACTAGTATTTGATTTATTTTTTATTAAGTAAATATTTATTTACTGTAAGTTTATGCTTTGTACTATTAAAAAAATATGTGTTAAGATTTAATAAAATTATTTTTAATGTAGAGGAATTAAAGGATATTTTTACAAAATAATACTATTACTTAAAAAAAAATAGTGTACCGATTGGTAATTGTGGTTTTTATTTTTTAGATTTTTTAGGCCATGGTTGCATTTTGATTGGATATTCTCGTTGACGTCAAAAGGTAGAGAACAAAAAAAGATTCTGAAGATACTACATAGATTTACTGAACATGTACGTAAAAATACTATTTAGGTAATGTTATACCTAAACATATTATTTTTCGAAAAATTACTACAAAACTCCCATGATTTTTGCGTGTAAACACATCGTGATATTTACTAATAATACGTTAAACTAAATTAGACCACTGTAGGAATAAATCCAATAAGCAAAGAAGAGCTAAATACGGCTATATCTTAGGATATGCTTGGACCATAAATAATATTTTTATATAATAATTAAAATTTAAATTTAATATCCAGATTTCATAACAATCAATAAAGTAAAATAAAGGCTGTGAGCCAATGCGCATTTTTATGTGAATTCTTAAATACATTTTTTGATCTTCAAACTACGTTCCAAATACTATTGGTCTTGAAAAAACAGTTCTAAACTAAAATGGTATGATATCACAAATTAATCTGATAGTTAATTTAATAGATAATAATATATATATATATATATATATATAGGGTGTAAAATGTTTCAGACAAAAGTTGTTTGACTCGAAGGGGGACATAAGATGGTGCCATCGATTTGACCTTGGATAGTCCTCTGAAGGTCACGTGAAGGTCACTTTTAATTTTTTAAATGGAACCCCTTATTTCTCATTGCACATTCTTACAGGTCATCTCGAGAGCTCCTATAATTACGTTACTTTTCGTTAAGTACTAGTTAAGTTATAACAGTGAAAAAGAATAAATATCATCTAAACTTTAGGAAATAAATATTAATATTTCTAAAAATGATGTTATTTATTTCTTTATGAATTATAAGAAATAGGGTTCCTAATAAAGTAAATGATTGTATGTGCTATGATTATCACTGTGTAATTACTTTACACAATTTAATATTTTAATAATAAATTTTTGTACGTTAAATTCATAAATATAAAAGTTATTATTTGTAAATGTAATAATTATTTAGCAAAAAAAGTTTTGCTAAATAATTAAAAATTTCAAGGAAGATACGGGCCTAATGTATTCGTCACGGACGCTCCTGAAGCTCAGCGTTACGCGCGCGATCAGCGGCTCGGGCGTAGAGTTTGGAGCGGTAGTGGGGGGACAGTAGGCGTCTCCTCAGAAATCTGGCCGAAAAGGGCAACTGATTCCGAGCGCTGAACTTTATACTCACGCAACATTTTCTATCTTAATCGGTCCATCCAACCGGGATCCATAATGGCTAATGGCAAAGAATGATCCGTAAATGCGTAAATTTGTCTTAGTCGTCCAATATCAACCAGGATAATAAATCTATCGGCTCTTACTTTATCTTGTAACTTAATGTACGCAAAATGCCGGATTATACTTTGAACGAAATTATTGATATTGTTCTGGTACTTGGAGAATGCCATAATAATTATCGACAAGCAGCGGTATTGTACCGTAATCGAGTTCCTCATAGACGACATCCAAATCATTGTACGATTTCCAGACTTGTATTGCGTCAACGACAACGCCAACGTCAAAAACGACAAAAACGATAAAAACGTCATATTAACGTAGCAGAAAGGGATGATCCAATAGTACTTGCCGTATTGAAAATGATAGCTATTAATCCACGCGTGTCAACGAGGCAAATCAAAAGAGGATTAGGTATTCCGAAATCAACAAGTCACAGGATCTTGACCACTCATAACTTCCATCCTTACCATATCACTTTGACACAACAATTAACACTCAATGATTTTCAACAAAGACTAGAATTTTGTAGGTGGGCACAAATAATCTTAAATCGTGATCGAACATTTTTCAGATTTGTTTTATTTAGTGACGAAGCAACTTTTCACAACACTGGACAATTAAATCGACATAATTCTCATTATTGGTCTGATGAAAACCCACGTTGGTATAGAGAAATTAATCATCAACATCGCTGGAACCTCATTGTATGATGTGGCATATTAAACGGAAACCTTATAGGCCCTTATTTCTTTGATGAAAATGGTAATAATTATTTACACACTTTCTACAACAAAGATTGCGGACGTTGATTGAAGATATCGATCTGGATACAAGACAACGTATGTTCTTTTAACAGGATGGTGCACCTGCGCACTGGAGTAGAAGAGTTAGAAACCATTTAGATCTCACATTCCCAGGTAGATGGATAGGACGCGGTGGACCAGTGTCATGATGTCCTAGATCTCCAGACTTGTCAAGTCTAGATTTTTTTTTATGGGGATACTTGAAAAACGTAGTATATTCAAAAACACCCACAACAAGAGAGAATATGATGGAGCGTATAACTTTTGCCTGCCGTAGCATTCCAAGAAATATACTTTTATCGACAGTTAACAGTTTTGAACGTCGAGTTCAATTATGTGTGTGTGGATAATAATGGACAGATATTCGAACACTTATTAAGATCATAATCATTTCACATGAAAACTAGATTCTGATATGAATCGACCGGATCAGTCCC